GTCCGGATAAGGCCTGTACCGACGTGTGATAATGATACGCTCGTCTCCTCTCCTTATGCTCGTTTGAGTATCATCGAGAATGAGGAAGATAATGACTCCTATCTTCTGCGCGGTGAATCAACCAAGGGTTTCACTACACTGAGTATCGGTGTTGAGTTGACCGGTCTCCAAGTTTCTATATATCTCTCGTTCCTGTTTCCGAAACCATGTCTCTTGGACTAGTGAATAACACTACCAAGCCCCTCAACAGTCGGCTTTACCCTTGAACCCAAGTTGTTAGCGGGTCAGCAAGAAGAAACGGCATGAAAAGTCTGCAGAATCTGCACATGCGAACATGGCGAAGGATGCGAGGTAAATCTATTGCCCTCTGGAAGTCTCGGCATGAAAAGGTTGAATGGGGCTGGTGAGTGAGTTCCTTCACTGTTCGCCTCTTTTCAGCTACCTCGCCTATCTCAATTTGTTATTCCGCGGCGCAATCCCTGATGAAGAGCGGTTTTCTCAACGGAATTCCGAATTCAGGGCAGATACGATGCTGGACCCAGTGTGGCAAGTACGTCGAATCATGCTCCTTCCTACGATATCCTGATTATTACTTTTCGTAGTGGTGATGTGTCTGTCCATCCCCTCTCATATCGAGGGTTCCAACCCAAGTTTAACCCGAAATACGAGCATCGTTTCTCCTTTCGTCATCAACTACCTACCTACATCGTACACGCACAAATAGTCATGGTATGCACATACCTCAACCTGCCCTCTTCGGTCCTAAACTCATGACTGTCCGGCGTGAGCACCACGGGCTGGGGAGGAAACGAGACCGCAGTCGTCTCGGAGGTCGTAAGAGTGAATCTTTGTCGCGTTGAACGTCCAGGAGCCGGTTGTGGAGACCACGAAGTCGACCACGGTTGCTTTAACGGGGCCGTCTACTGGGCTGATGTAGCGGATTTGCGTCCCGATCGCGTAGGGTTTCGTTGGGTCTGTTACGATCAGCTCGGTGCAGGTGGCGCAAGTTGTAGTGTCGACTGTGCCGCGGTTGTGGGCTGGTGTCATGGGCTGCCTCAGGAAACCGCTCGTCAGGGAGGCGGGCTTGTTGTTCTCAGTGTACGAGGCGTTGTCGGCAAGAATGGAGTGGAACTCGGGCAGGCCGGCGCTGCGCGTTGCCACATAGCAATCGGCTGCGGCTCCGAGTGCTGTTCGCCTGCATCCTGATGCGGCTACTGGTAGGAGACTGATCAGAATGGCCACGAAGGTCAAGAAATGGGCGCGCGCAGGATGATCTTTGCCTCGTCAATGTGCTTTTCTGGGTCTTCTGGAAGCCGCTCGACATCTCGACTCTCGTCAGGTCCCTTCCAGCAAGTAGCCTACATGATCATCTGTAAGCACTCCGGGAAGAGCGTCAATCATATGCCGCGGTGTCAATATACGAGCGGGGGAGGGTGGGTGAAGAGTAAACCGTTGAACCTTCGACATCCGGAGCTCCGACACGATGTGACCGCGAATCATAAAGAGTTGGAAGTCTCGAATGGGTCAATAAAGCCATGCGAAAAGCGACTACCCCAGGCCAAAGCTACACTGCTGGTCCTCGTAACAACTGGCAAAATAAACGGCTCATCTGGGTCACTTAGTACTATCAAATTACCGCTTACCTACTCCTGACTCGTACTACTTTTCAAGTGAGTCGAGATCCAACAATTCGACAATGGATCTATCATCTATGTCCTTAACAGTGAAGATCAAAGTGTGCGGCAATGGGTTTGTAATAGGACTTATTCATCAGGGTAGTCATATTATTTTCATTGCATGGTTCTGGACTTGGTCGAAAATTTGCTTGGTGTTATAGACAAGTACATGGATGGTCCTCAGGACCGAGTAAACCTTCTGCGGTGCTCACCACCCACTTTCTTCCTTATGACATCGACAAGCTCCGTCTTTGGCTCAATGTATGGCTTGATCGTATTTCTGACCTTTGTTCGCTGCTCAAAGGCGTATGCAAGACCTATCAACTTCTCTTCGCTGTAACGCTCGCCGAGGAACGAAATTCCAAATGGGACGTTGGGAGCAGTGTCATTCAAATTTCCGAACGTGTTCGGAATGACCGTCTGATTCTCCGGGTACTTCCCGAGTGGGACTGTGACGATTGGCGCTCCGATAATAGCTGGCAAGGTGGACGAGAACGTCGTGGGCATCACCAAGGCGTCGAGGGAGAGATTGGTGAGAGCACCCGTTATCCCGAGAAGCCCGCCGTAATAAAGATCCGCGGTATAATTCGACCAGAGCTCGGGGCTCTCGTTCCCATATCCAAGATCGAGCGCATCTTGCCATATCTGCGTATCTCTTTCGGGCCAGTCCTCTAGAGGAAAGCTCTGCGTGAAGTCCTGTAAATCCGCGAGTGAGGTGATGTTGTTGGGGTTATATGTCAACTTGGCGAAGTACTTCGCAACGTCCGTGACGAAGTCAGCCATGAGCACATTATTTTCGAAGTTTGACGTCGCAAGAGCATCATAGCCCTCTAGGTGGATATCGTCGATGATCTCTGCACCAGCAGCTCGGAAGACGTCAAGCGAAGCGTTGAAAGCAGCCACGACAGCTCCATAATGTTCCTCTTGTCCAGTGATGTCGAAGAGGTTCCGAGGAACTCCGAGGCGTTTCCCCCTCAGAGCAAAGTAGTCACATGCACCAACATAATCGGGGACAGAGTCAAACGGAAACGTGCTGGTGTAGTTGTCCTTCGGATCAGGCCCGGCAATTGCCGATAAGATGTAGGCAGCGTCCTTCACCGTTCTCGCCATCGGCCCAACCGTATCTTGGTGCTCAGAGATCGGTATCACCAGGTACCTCGAGGTCAGGCCAACAGTAGGCTTGATCCCGACCAAGTTGTTAACGTTCGACGGTGATACAATAGAACCGTCAGTTTCGGACCCGAGACAGGCGAGTGCGAGTCCCAATGAGCTCGATACACCACTTCCGGAGCTAGATCCAGAGGGATCCTGCCCTGGATAGTAAGCAGCCTCGGTTTGTCCGCCATAAGCCGACCACCCATTGCTAGTATTATCGCTGCGGTAATTTGCCCACTGGGAGAGATTTGTCTTGCCTAAGAGGACCGCTCCTGCCTTCCTAAGTTTCGCAGCCATCGTGCTGTCTTCTGGAACCTTGGCCCCTAACAGTGCGTAGGAGCCAGCAGTATTGTTCATGCTATCGTTTGTAGCAATGTTGTTCTTGATCAAGATGGGGATTCCGTGTAGCGGACCCAACACCGTCCCTGCTGCTCTCAGACTATCGGCGTCTGCTGCGATTGACAAAGCATCTGGGTTCAACTCTGTCACCATCCTCAGGGTCGAGTTCACCTCCAGGATCCGAGCGATGTAAGCATTGACAAGGTCGACACTGGTGAATAGACCTGACTCGAGACCTGACGCAAGATCCTCCAAGGTTGCTTCGATCAAGGGGGGAAACGGCTTCCCGTCGATGGCTGTACTTGAGTTCGTACATCCTGCCCGGACAAAGAGGCTGCTGTGATAGTCTAACACACTGGTTATCGCAAAGGCGAGGAGGATCTTCATTGACCACATCTTTGGACCTCGGTGAAGGGGCTAGCTGATAGACAGCAGCTGAGCGTGGAATAACGGAGCAACCTTGGCACACAGGCGTCGACTTGCTCCTCAACACGTGAGCTTGGCCGTCCTATCGGGAGCAGAAGTGTGAAGAAGGCCAGAGGAACGAGACACGTGCCCCAGGACATGGTCAATATATCTTGCATCTTGATCGAGCTGTCGATCCAGGAACGCAGAGCGCTCTAAAGCTCGGGATCCTGCAACCGGCCCAGATGCTGCTCGGGAACAAGGCCGACGACGCTGACGAGCGAGAGATATCAATAGAATGTCAGCGTCATTCACCAATGAGCAATGTGTGCGACCTGCCTTTCTCGGTATCGAGAGTACCAGGTTAGGGATCTTATCTACAGATTTCTCACCATAATGACGCTCACCCGAGGCGTCTCCCATGGCGACCCCGGCACTGAAGCCCCTGCCGCATGGGCGTCGCATCCCACATGCAGCTAATTACCATAGTAGCTACTGGGAGACCTGAGCGGGGTACTTAACGGTAACGGTTTCCGCCAATCGCATTGGCAGTATCGTAGCGGGGATCGGGGTAGCTTCGATCCGGTCAGTATTGGTATTGGTATTGGCGAACTCCCATGAAATAGGATAGAAATGATGATTCTATCTATGTATTACAAAGTCGAATTTCTAAGAGATTAGGAAGCGCCCTAATAAGGCTTAGGTCATTGCCGAGATTGCACTTACAAGCGAACTCGGACAACTTGTCATTACCACAGTACATCTTTATCAAAGTGGTCAAAGTGGTCAAAGCGGCGACTGGGATTTCAAACGTCAGTCCAGCTCCAGTGGAGGTCACCGAGTTGACTGTGAACAAAGGACCGCCAAGGAGCAAAGTAACAATACTCACCTACTTATAGGTAGTCTATACCACAGTAAGGGATCTATGGCTTAACCCACAAGCGCCAAACCCACTGGTCCGTGCGCTCATAGGGCTGAAAAGGACATGTGTGTGCCACCATCGAGTAACCCACGAAGTAGATGATCCCGTATTGTCTTTTGACTTTCTGTTAGAGAAGAACTGCGTCAGGTATCCAAGTAATTATGGGCGCAGCTCTCGCTACCTGCTCTAGTGCTTGCTGCGGTGAATCTCTTCCTTACATAGGTACGTACACATCTCATGCCCTTCCGTACGTATCCGCACTTGCTCCTATGCCTATCGCTTGCGTCTCGAGAAACAGAAAAGGCAACCCGGGCAGGCGCGAATCCGTTTCCTTTCCTTCCAAGGATACCCGCGTGATCGATATGAGTCAGACAACCAGGTTCCGTCCGTTTGCTCGTGGTCTCGCGTCCCCAGGCCGTTCACGACAGCTTCAAAATCGACGTTTGTTGCTTCGTGTTCAAACGGACATGCCCTGATGGCCCAGCGGCAACGGCATTCCATATGCGCCAATAGGGAAGTGGTTATCCCATCGGTTTCCGGAGCCGGGAGTCGCGAGTTCGAATCTCGCTTGGCGTTGTATCTTTTTGCCCTTACTTAATACAACTCAACATACGTGATACGGCTAGCATTCCGAAGCTGTCTACATCTTGCGCGTACTGTGTAGTTCTAATGGCTGGGGTCTCTTCCCTTCTTCCCTACCGTATAACGACCCCTAACAACGCTCGGTCCAATATCTGATCCGGACTGACCGCGAATAGTTGAACCTACATATACAGGTACATGGTCAGATATACCAGAGCTCTCCTGGTAGCTGGAACTGTGGGACATCAATACGTCTTCAATTCACCAGACAGGCTCACTGGTCTAGGAACGAGTATTCTTACACTCGAAGTGCCAGGATATGAGGAAGCATGTATATGGAGATATTGACATCGAAGAGTAGTTTGTCACTTTCATAATCTAGTTTACATGCTTCTTTCCAGAACCCCGACTACCTCCTTCTCCGCAGAGAAAAGGCTGTCTAGAACCCGGATTTCGATTCAGGAATTCTAACCCACGTCGATGGGCAGTGGACAGCTAGTAGAATCACTCAAAGTTACCTTAGTCATCCAAGCATGCAGTTGTTGATTGGGCTGATTAAAGCGTCGGGTTGCTGGACTAACATCAATCGGAAGGCTGGCCTGAGGATAAGGAGTCGTAGGGAAGCACTGTTGTTACGGACCATAGACCGTCCTTCTGGCAAGTCGACCATGACTATCACAGGTTCTTGTGATGTGATCAGCTGAAACTACTATTGGAGACTAATAGACAAATCTATGCGGAATTTATAATCGTTTGTGTGATGACGATGAACTTCCGCTCTGACTTTGTCCGATCTCATCCTCAACTCAGCGGTAGCACGGCGGTCTTTAGGGCGGTCACTTTCGACACGACCTACCATCCCGCTGAAGCGACCTGCCATCTTGCCGAGCTTTCTCTCTAGCCTTTCCCACTCTTTCGCAGAGAAAAGAGCAACCCAGGGAGCAGCTTGGGATATTGAACGCACGTCTGCCCATGCCGTCTCCTTCTCGTCGTTCCACTCTATTCCACACAGCAGGTAGAAATATTCCGACTCTGTTGTCTGATAACCGAGGTTCATTAGGCTAGGAAATATTTTCAGGTGACCCTCGAAGGACTGGACCCCCCCGGTCAGGAACTTGAGACTCGAGGAATCCCATCGATCCCGTGGGCTCGCAGATTGAATGGCGTCTCGCAGGTCGTACGAACCCTCGCATTTAATTCGAATCGACCGTACCAGCGGTGGATCGAGGTTTGCCCTGATGGCGGGCGTCACACTCGTAATGATGTAAGCCTCCTCTATCTCCGAGTAGTTGTACAGACCCCTGGGCCGACGTTCGCGCCGCAATGGGTACTTAAGACGTACGAAACGGCTAGGCCCAACCTTTTGGAGGTACATGTCCTCTTCGTTGTATTCAGTGTTTCGTTTCCTTCCACCTTGCAGCGGCAGAATGTAATCGTCATAATCCCCGCCCACTAGGAACTCAACAGCTCTGAAATAGAGACCATTGTTGGTCAACGTGAACGATCCACTCGACATAACATTGTCGCTAGTACTCATGAGCATTCCGCAGTTTTTGAAGTCGCTGGGGGCGCTAGCAAATAAATCACAATAGGGGGGAGGCCTCGCTGTAGAGTCGTCGTTGTCGTCGTCGTCTGAAGAATCTGTGTCACCCCCATACGAAGGCTTGGCCAGGAAGGCGAAGATGGACATATCGTTCGATCTCTTGATGATTTCTTCCTGTAGACGAAGGAAAGCCTTGTTTCCCTCGCCGTATAGTAGGGGCATGTTGACGTCGAACATGCCCAGAAGGCAGTAAGCCATATCTTCCATCCTAGTCGTCACTCTCATTGCGGCCCAAGACATCCTCCGACCAACTGCAAAACTGTTGAGTAGCTGGCTGTCTGCTAAAACCTCTTCGTCGATGTTCGTGATGTCGGAGATCATGTCTTTCAGCTGCTCCTTCGATCCTACGTACTCCCACGCGCTATCATAGAATCTCAGATCTTCAGGGGCCAGCAGCTCCTAGTCCACGATTAGGCGTCAGTTATGGCTTTTTCAAGTAGCTACGGGGAGTATATGAAGGAGTATTTCCATTCAACCGGAGTCGAAAGCTATGTTTCATGAGCCCTCGAACTCAAATAACGGCCTAGAAGGGGAGAGAAAGGACCCGACTACTGACCTGAAGACACCAGCCCCGGGTAAACCATCGGCACCCTGGTAAGTCTTCGGTAACGTCCATATCAGGGGACATATCTGATAAGAGTGCATAGCACACTTGAGAGTTCTGATACCATTTGAACATGGAATTGATTGCTTCGCTCAATTCTGCACTGCTAGTCTTATCTATGCAACAAGTGTCGACCCAGGCGTACTTAATATTGTGGCTCCTGGCTTTTTGGCAAGTCTTTAGTATCTTGTTGTAGCCCGATTTCTCCATTGCTGGATGATCAGGATCGCTAGCGCATCGCGTCATCTCCTGGTAGCTAACCTCCTCATCCTCAACCCATGTATGAGATAGAATCGCATAGTTGGGGATGCCATCTCCTGCGAAAACCTTCATGTGAAGGTTGTTCGTGTCGAGGAGTCTGATGGACATAGCAAGCGTCTATGCAATTTGGTCTATAGAAACGTCGCCGGTAAGATGTATGGGGTGACTGAAACTGCTGAAGAGATGATGGAGCCTTGTGGGGAGGGTTGCAAGTCGGCAGGGCTCTCATGCATAGCCTGCGCGGCTGCTCCCACGCTAAGCTTTGAGGCGGCGTACGCTGACTGTATAGCTCTACGTTCCGAACATGAATCTTGTCTAAGTGTTACCAGAATATAAGAGTAATTGAACGTGTAAGAATTCGATGATATGTTGAAACACGGTACATTTGACTAGGCCCTGAACTAGATATTCACAACTTGATCAGGTATGGGACGTCGGCCACAGAGTCAAATTTGAACTTGTCGTGCAGCTCCTCGATCTCCTCCTGGCTCAACCAGTCTGCAACCTCGAAATTATCCTTAAGACCAAGCGTACCCTTCTGCCATAGGTACCATGCAATCATCGTCTTGTCTGCAGAAGGATGCTTGCTCTCTTTACGCAGAGTGTACATCTTGTTTATTACCGGGAAAGATTCGTTCCAAGGGTTAAGCAGAGAGTCATATCCGTCCAACGGCGTAAGAGGCTCTTGTTTGTCGGGAGCGGCTTTCGAGCGAGCCATAAGGGCATACCATATACATCCTGCGGATTCTCTTTCAACGCAAGCTTGGCCCTCTGATCTTTGAGCCCACAGCTCTTGCATCCGTTGCGACGAGTAGCCCCTGAGTCCATCCTCGGCTGGGCGCAACGCACCCAGGCCCCATTGCTTCCAGAACGACGCGGCCCCTTCACGAAAGAACCACCAACAAATCCACGAGTTGCCTTGATCCGGATGCCTAGTCTTCTCAGACACATTGGACTGGATCATGTACCTAGACCCTCGGTCGAAGCACCGCCGGTGGCCATAAAGGCGAGCGGTCCTCTTGTTTGAGTAGGCCTCCCTACAGTCGAAAAAATGAAGTGGATCACCCTCTTGATAAGTGCCCTCGCGTAACTTCCATCGCCACTCTGGGCAACGTTGGGAGTCGAAAGAAGCGAAGACCACATACGCAAGCATGAAGAAAGCCTGGCATTGCTGAGGACTTAGACTCCTGACCATCAACAGGACCTCCTCATAAACACGAGCTTCCCGTGCCGAGACAGTCGCAACGACAGACCGGTCGTAATCGCCTGACGGAATTTGCCATGGCGTGGATGTCTGAACGCGGGAGACATCTTCGAGAGGCAGATCATAGACCTTCTCGTAAATTTCTCCAATGCGTTGAAGCAGACACCAAGCTCCCGAAAGCTCTTTCCGTAAGCTATCCCCGAAATCATCTTCTGCCTGAATCCGTGAGATGTGCGAAGGTCTCTTATCGTACGGCCTTTTGCTGTTATGATCTAAAGCGATTGCCGCAAGCCGATGGGGCATCAAGGTCCGCAACCAAGCAAAATCGTAGACGCCATCATCGTTCGGCATAAGCAAGAGGCGGGCCTTGGGAAAGGTATTGCGTGCTATCTTATAGGCAACCTCGTCGACGAGGGCATGTACGAATGCATGGAACGAGCGGCAGACAAGCCGAAGACTGAACACATCGTCAATGATAAGCTCTTCTAGAACTTGATACGCGAGCTCTACGGGGAGCTCAACAAGCGCACCCATGATTGTACGATGTTGCTCTAAATGATCACACCATTTCTCCCATCAAATCAAGACAGGAAGGAAGGCTGACACCTCTGGGAAGTCCTTTATATTGTGTGAAATACATAGCGGACTCCGCGACAAGAAGTTATCTCTATGACTGTGCATGATGCCCCTTGCTTGTCGCGTCGCGTAGAGACGGCCGCCATCAAGTGCTTGACATCGCATGTCAGTCATTATCGGCAGTCCCAAGGGTGAACATGGTCATACAATCCAGCGCAATGAGATCATACATTTGGGTGTCGTTTTAACAGAGTGTCATTGCGGTTTTGATGGTCCATTTGGGACATTGTACACGTACTTCGGTCGCATTTGTTCATCTGAGGGTGCGACGTACTGTGGGACCGGACCGTTTATTCCTAGGGCTGCACTGTGCTGAGGCAGAGAGCGCCAAATTTAATTGCGCCGACTCTCCACATGCGTCGTCATGCTGCTAGATACTCAGAATTCATCCATCACGAAATCGTCTCCCCCCATACCATTATCAAGATGCATTTGGCACGGCAAGATCCTCAAGACGAGGACCTTCGTATTCAAATGGTGTCTGCGACTGAACCTATGCAACATGCGGGGGATCCCTTGGAAGATGTGTTCGGCTCGGATTCCGAGTCACCGATGCTTGGCTGGGAAGATCGCTTGGAAGCCAGAGAGTCGCATCCGTCAGATGTTCGGCGGCTACAATCAGAACATGCCACCGCAGGATACCGTGAAGGTATCACGGCGGCCAAAGCCATCAGCATTCAGAAAGG